TTTTTTAAAGTTAATTGAAAGACAAGGAATCCAAGAAACAGCAAATTCAACTCAGGACATCACTGAAAAGAGATTCAACATAAGTAATATTTATAGTATTAAATAACTTTTCTTCAACTTTTTAAATAAGCTATGAACAAACCCCAAGACAATCATTGTTACAGAAGAATGTTAATATTTTCAATTTTGACAATATTTTTTAAAAGTGCAGGTACCTCAATTTGGCAAGTGGAAGCTTATAGGAGAGGAGGAAGGAAGAGCAGTGATGTCAATACCTTCATCTTCCAACAAGGCCATACTTAAGGGATGAAGATACAAAAATAAGTACATGTAAATTAAAATAGTAACTGAAAGAAGGATGGTGTAAGGTGACTCCTGATTTAAAGCAGAGTTTTAGAAGTTGGACTATTACAGAGTCCCAAAAAGTCCTCATCCAAATCTCGAGGGAGTTCTGACCCTTCAAGAGCCCTTCAGAGTTGACCCAAATCAAGGTGAGGCTCAGGACCTCTACAGCCCCACCCTGAGCAGTCACTGGAGAGTTACCCTGGGAAGGGGCCTGAGGTTGGGTGAGGCAGCCATCCTCACCTAAGGCAACTCTGGAGGAGAGCTGAGAGCTGAGGATGGTCAGCCAGCAACTGAGGGAATAAATCCTTCAGCACTGAAGGGAGGAGACTAGGTGGATCAGGACAGCATCTCTACGGAAGCACTTGTTCTTGTCACTGGGCATACACACTTTTGGGGGTGGAAAAAAACAAAGTAGTAAATGTTTTTTAAAAATGTATCATCTCTTAAATTCCATTAACTCAACTGACTCAACCTATTAACTATCAACTTATGAACTCTGTTCCTTAAGTTAAACATTCCCAGGAAGTCAGGAGGTAAGGTTATGTTGCAATATATTAATCTACAGTAAAAAATTTAATCTCCGTGCCTTAACTCAATAAAGAGGATTCAATTCTACAGACATTCAAGGGATTCGGCTTATGGAGTTTCAAACATATTACACATCATCACCTCAACAATGGCTTTTAGAAAAAGACAAAGTAGACAAAGCTTGCACCCACTTTCAAGTTCTATTGACTGGTACTAGTCACATGATTCCACACGAACTACAGAGGAATCTGGGAAATGTGCATAAGCTTATGGAATGTTGATGACTGACACTGTCCCTGAAGACATACTGGATGTGATGGTGGAGGGTAAAGCCACAGGGTAAATATCAGCAGGTTTTTCTCTAGCACAACCATACATTTCTCCAAGATGTACGCCTACTGAGACTGAGCTCTTTTTTGTAGAAACTTGTTTATAAAGTATGTACTGTTGTTTTGATTAAATTATTAGTTAAAGATTATATTACCCAATGAAATCTGGTGTAAACAAAAATACTTGTTGCTATGAAGCTGTCACTGGAAGGGAAGAAGACTCCGACCCTGATATTAAAAAGAATCTCCCAGCGTGGGGCCAGTGTGTCACTGTGGAAACATAAGAATGCCCTAGAATATACTCTACCACTTACCCTTATAAGAGGGCTTATGTTTCAACTAGGAAAGTCAGATCTCAATGTCTCCCTAAACTCTGGGTCAGGTTCAGTATCCAGTCCTGCCTCTTATCTTTGCAGCATCAAAAGCAAAGTGATACATATAGAGAATAAGGGCTCCCTAGACACCCACACAAGTGCTCCCCATTTCCCTAAGTGTCACCCCTCTTGACTCCTTTGGTAAATGACAATGTCCACCCTGAGGAAGTCGACAAAACCAGCACAAAACCTCTGACCACTCAGCATCTTGTTCTGGGCAGATTCAGACTATGACCTTGGGAAGCAGAATCCTCTTAAGAGTATCTGCCCACACATTCACAGTGCCCATGTCTGGTGACCTGCATTGCAGCCTGGGGTACAGAAGACAATGACCCCAAGAAAACCTTGTTCTCCATTCTGACTTCATCCAGGAGAGGGAAGGCGCTACCATTGGCTCCTCAGGCCCAATAAGTGGGTGAGGGATCAGGAAGGAGGGGAGGCCTTCCATTCCCTCAAAGACAAACTGTCAGCCACCTGGCCATATAACAAACCCAAAGCCTGAGATGGAGACCAGCTTTCTGTGCTGGCCCATGTCAAGGGAGCCTTAGTGTGCAGGGACCTCTTTAACACGTGGGAAGAGAATATCAACAGGAATCAACAGGTCACTATATCCACGGATAAGTGACTATGCAGGAGACAAGGGGTGAGATGAGTGTGAGTCAGCACTTCCTGAGGAGCAGAGGAAACTCTACCATTCAGCTCGTGGGGTCCACAGAAACAAACTGCCCCATATGCCACTCCACTGTGATGGGGTTGGAGGCTGGGGTGCTGCACATGGTGGGTGTAGACACCTCCACACGAAGCAGTCATTACAGCATCACCAAGATCTGGAAGGTCCAGTCTATGTTCCTACTAAAGGGGGTGAACATAAGGCTGTCTGCATCCATGTACATGATGACGTTTTTGAGAGGTGTGCATGTTACTAGAATCTCTCCTAAAATTGTTCAAACTTTGGTAGACAGTCTAGAAATACAACAGAAACAGGCAGTCACACACCTACACAGAAACAAAGGTAAGTTGTGTGGTGATAAGAGTGCAAAAATTAGAGAGGATGCAAAAAGAAACAGAGAGATGTCAATAGATGCAGGTAAATGGTGGCAGAGGTGTAGCTAGAAATAGAGACAGAGATGCAATAAAAGAGCGAGAGACACAGGGATACAGAGACAGACAGAAAAAGACACAGAGAGACACACTGAAAAAAATATACAGGAACAAAGAGATACAGGAAAAGAGAGAAAGGTGCCCCGATAGAGTTATAACAGAAAGAGAAGAGACAAAGACCTCATAGAATACCTGGATCCAGTCTCTTCTGAAATCAATTTGACCCCAGGATTCCTTGTAACATGAACAAACTAAACTTCAGTTGGATGTCAATCATTTGGAACCAAGAATATTACTTTTATTGCTGGTTATACTTTTCCCAAAATAAAAATTTACAAAGTGGTCCCAGTGATATTTCAAGTACCCACTTGGCACTGTACATAGTTATTACAATATTATTGACTATGCTATACTTTACAACCCTGTGACTATTTTGTGACTACCAATCTGTATTTTTTTTACTATTATTAAATATATTTTTGTTGATTTTAGAGAGGAAGGGAGAGGGAGAGAGAAAGAGAAACATCAATGGTGAGAGAGAATCATTGATTGGCTGCCTTCTGCTTGCCACCTACTGGGGATCAAGCCCACAACCTGGGCATGTGCCCTTGACCAGAATCAAACCCTGGACCTTTCAGTCCACAGGACTATGCTCTATCCACTGAGCCAAACCAGCTAGGGCCCAATCTGTACTTCTTAATCCCTTCACCTTTTTCACCCAGTTCCCCAACCCCCAACCCTTCAGGCAATCACCAGCTGGGTCTCTGTATCTATGAGTCTATTTCTATTTTATTTATCTGTTTACTTTGTTCTTCAGATTCCACATATAAGTGAAATGATATAGTATTTGTCTTTTTCTGACTTATTTGACTTAGCATATTACCCTCTAGGGCCGTGGTCGGCAAACTGTGGCTCGCGAGCCACATGCGGCTCTTTGGCCCCTTGAGTGTGGCTCTTCCTAAGCCTTAGGAGTACCCTAATTAAGTTAATAACAATGTACCTACCTATATAGTTTAAGTTTAAAAAATTTGGCTCTTAAAAGAAATTTTAATCGTTGTACTATTGATATTTGGCTCTGTTGACTCATGAGTTTGCCGACCACTGCGGTATTTGACTTAGCATAATACCATGCTGTCACAGATAGTAACATTTCTTTATTTTTTTATGGCCAAGTAATAATCCATTGTTTATATGTACCAAACATTTTTATCCACTCATTTATTGATGGGTATTTGGGTGGCTTCCATACCTTGGCTCTTGTAAATAATGCTGCAATGAACATAGGGGTGCACATATTCTTTATAATTAGTGCTTTGGATAAGAAAGTGCCATTTTAAATGATTCTTTAAACTACCGCTGCAAATAATTACAAGAAATATTCAGGCCTGAAAACATGTTCATTAATTCATCACCAATTTTGAACTGGTTGACTCTTTCTGTTTATCTATGTATAAAAGCATAAGCAACTGAATGACTGAATGACCAGTCACTATGAAGCGCACTGACCACCAGGGAGCAGACACTCAATGCAGGAGCTACCCCCTGGTGGTCAGTGCTCTACCACAGCCAGGCAACCTCCCGAGGTCCCTCCCCTCGCCAGCAGACCTGATCACCCTGATCAGGACTGGGCGATATGGCCCCAATTGGCCCTGATTTCCCACCAGGCCGAGGGACCCCACCCGTGCATGAATTTGTGCACCGGGCGTCTACTCTGCTAATAAAATAATTTTGTCATCATCAAAAAAAAATTTATGTTGATCAATATGACTTGCCAAGACATCTGAGACATCAGTTTGGTTCTTGGAGACACCAGGGGCCACTATACCTGGCCCCAGGTAATTCCTCCATACTGACATACACTCTACCCACCAGGCTGGAAGAGAGGCCACTGCACTGAACATCAATACTGAAGAGCCAGGAAGCAGGACAATTGAATTGTTCCCTCTGCCCACATTTATCAAAGCACCCCAAGATGCTCTAGTCTCCCTCAAGAAGCAAAACATGTTCCTTTCATTCTGCAGTGGCTTCCTGCCTCCTCTCAGTTAAGAAGGCTCAGGATACAGGTAACATGTTTAATTATAATAAAAGCTCTGGAGTCAGGTAAAGGCTTTAATGCGCTTCTCTTGGACAGTGGGGGGCAGGGGGGAACAAAAGAAAAATGTCTTGGGGGCCTTGAGTAGACTCAGTTGGCAGCCCACAGGACAGACTCCAAGCTCACAGCCATGGCCTCGAGGGTGGGGGGCGGGGGGGCGAGGAGCACAGGATATGCCTGGCCAACTGCCTTAGAGTAACTAGGTAACATGTTTAATTATAATAAAAGCTCTGGAGTCAGGTAAAGGCTTTAATGCGCTTCTCTTGGACAGTGGGGGGCAGGGGGGAACAAAAGAAAAATGTCTTGGGGGCCTTGAGTAGACTCAGTTGGCAGCCCACAGGACAGACTCCAAGCTCACAGCCATGGCCTCGAGGGTGGGGGGCGGGGGGGCGAGGAGCACAGGATATGCCTGGCCAACTGCCTTAGAGTAACTAGGACTCTGATCTCAGAGGGAGCAGGCTCACAGGCAGCTGGGAAATCTGCGTGAAGACAACAAGCAGGCATTTCAGAAGAAACACAGCCAATCCCAGTCAAAGCACCCTCAGGAGTCAGCGCAGGAGCCCTGTAGAAGAGAGAGTGATCAGCACCCGGCACCTTGGGACGTACCCTGTCCCCTCCTCTCAGGGCCCTGCAGCATCAGGTAAAGCTGAGGTCCAGTATCCGTGTCGGGGTGAAATCAGCTGAAGAGGACATGCACTTCAGCCTCACACAGACATGCAGGAGGCAGGGGAACAGCTGTTATCCTTGGGGGATATGAGCATTTCATCTTTTAGCAAATTAATTGATAACTAACCTTTCTTCCACCACTAGGACTCAATTATAAATGCCCACTGGCAGGAGCCACCAACATTCGGCATAAAGTGAGCATCACCCCTGTGCCTACCACCCAAGATGTGGCTCTGGTTCCATGTTTCACAGAAAGATTCATCAAGTTAAGCCCTGGTTCTGGATAACAAGCCCGGAGTTTCCTTCAGAAACTGGGTGAGCTTCTCCTCTAACCCTTGATCCCCTGGCAGGGAATAGGCCATGAACCGTGACCTTGGTGACCAGGAACACTCATCTTGCCCCCCTCCTTTTTCCTGCTGTCTTAGCACCACCTCCATCCTCCCCTCCCCATTAAATCAGAGCAGAGACAGTACCTGGGGGGAGGCCCATGAGATCCTACAAAAGGACTTTACACAGAGAAAGGTCTCATCACACAAACAGCCAGTCCCTCTCCCACCCACAGGAAATGAGATAAGCAACTTAACTGGAAATCTATTTCCTCCCTACCCATCAGCCGCAAGGCCTTATCCCCCTAAGCTACAATCCCCCAAATGAGTGGACCTGTCACTAGAAAGAAGGAAAGCCAATGCGCTGACCTTCTTAAAGAAGCAGCTTTTGGAAAGGGGCCAGAGAGACAGTGATGAGCTCTTAGATCCAGAACAATCACCACAGTCATTCCTGTGGCAGGGCTGCCTTTCAACCAGTAAAATCCAGTCCAAAGCTTCACCTAGCTGTCTGTCTTCTCCCACCACAAGCCCGGCCTTTTGCCTTCCAGATCAGGAGGTGAGTTACACCTAGAAGCAGAGGCTCCCTCAACAGAGGTCCCGGGCACAGCCCATCCTCCCGTTTCCCCAGTTGCTTACCCTTCTGTTTCCTGTGACGGATGACAGGGCCCAGGCCCAGGAAGATCAGCCCCAGCACGAAGCCTCCGACGCCGCTCAGCATCTTGCTCTGGGCAGATCCAGACTGTGCCCCTGGGGAGCAGAGCCTGGGTGTCAGCTTCTGTCCCAAACCCACAGGGGCCCTTTGGGAAGCCTCCACGCCTGGGGTGGGACCAGGCAGTAAACCCTTGCACACCGAGGTTGGGTGACAGGGGAAGTGGATCCTGTTCCTTCACATGCATCCTAACCTTGGGCCCCACGCCCTGTCACCAGCTGCCATAGTCAGCCCTCCAGAGTCTCAGGCTGGAGTCATTGTATAGAGTGACCTCCCTAGTGTCTGGAAACACAATGAGATCTGATGCCCCTGCCATGGCACCAGAGGGCTCTAGCATCCTGTGATGTCCAGCTCAGCAGTGCGGGTAAGGATGTGATGGGACAACCAGGGGCAGCTGTTTGCCCTCTGTCTGTGGGGACCAGGGTGCAGGAAAGAAACTGCCCCTTACGCCACTCCACTGTGAGGGGGCTCTGGAGGCTGGAGTGCTCCACACGGCAGGTGTAGATGTCTCCTCGCTGGGGGGTCATTTCCAGCATCACGAGGACCTGGTAGGTCCAGTCCCCGTTCCTAATCAGGGGGGTGGACACGACGCCGGCTGTCTCCTCCTGGTCGTTCCGGAACCAGCGGACTTTGATGTGGGCTGGATAGAAATCCGTCACCGAGCAGACCAGCATGTTGTGGTGGGTTAGGGCCTCTGTCTTGGCTGGGGAGATGGTCACTGTGGGCTCCACTGGGAGGGGAGGGGTGACAGAGAGGAAAAGACGGAGTGAAATGTGGGGGCACAGGCAAGTCTCCCCACTGAGAGGGTCCTCCCTGAACCAGCGGGAAAGATCCCTGGATTATGAGTCTGGGATGAGGACCCGAGCTGGGCCACTTGATTAGCTGGAGTAAATACATGAATCAGTTAACTTTTCAGGGTCAAGAGCTAACCGCAATCATTTTATGGGAGATCTTCTGTTACCCCTTGATAAAAATGAAGCCCCTGAAATGTTTAAATTGCTAGGTTATACAGGCCACTATTCATAATATGTTCTTAAATAAAGATGAAAAACTTGGACTTCTTTTCCCTCCACCTATTGACGGTGAGTGTGGGGATCAGCTCTAGAAACTCACACCAAGGCAGTGACCCTGTTTCCTGTTGGTCCCGCAGCTCCTCACAGTGGAGAAAATACATCAGTTTGAGTCTCCTGGGGGACCATCAGCACTGGTCATGGCTCCATGAACAGTAACACGGACTGAGAATTAGGAACGTTACAGACAGTTCTATGTCCGACAGAGCAGGACAGCAGTGAACATCATACCCTGCCTCCGAAGCAATGCTCTCAAACAGGCTCTTCCCTACCATTCTCAGAGGGAAACACTGACAGGATTTAAGGGCAGGAGCACTTCTCACTTGTCACCCATCAACAAAGCCCCTCTCAGCTGTTAGCCTAACCCAGCTCAGAAGCCATTCTGTGGCAAACTCCCATTAAATTGTATATTATTAAATAATAAACTTCATGTCCACATCATCTATGCCACCTATGTTTTATCCATTTACTGATTCATTTATTCATTCATTCAACAAATACAAGTTTCACAAGCACTAGGAATCTACACTAATAAAAGATAAATATGCAAATTAACCATCACCCCACCACTCCACTACACCCACCAGCCAATCAGGAGCATGTATGCAAATTAACCCAACTAACATGGCAGCGGCCACGGAGCTGGAGTGGGCAGGAAGCTTGGGTTGCCCCCGGAGATGGAGAAAGCCAAGCTTCTTCCTGCCCTGGCCATCCCTGGGCTCCACTCAAGGCTTCAAAGTTTCAATTATAGAAGATAAATAAATCCAAGATACCTGCTTCCAGCCCACCCTGGCCTCTGTGCAAGGAGGTGCTGATAAAAAAAAAGAAAGTAAAAAAGGAGAGGCTGGGAGCTTGGGTTGCCGGGTGTAGTGGCCAGCCTGAAAACCGCCCTAAGCCCCTCACCCAGGCTGGCCAGGCACTCCAGTGGGGACCCCCACCCTGAAGGGGGTGTGGACAGACTGAAAACGGCCCTCATGCCCTCACCCAGGCTGGCCAGGCACCCCAGCGGGACCCGAACCCTGATCAGGTCAAGGGCATGTATGCATGGATATGAGCATAACAAATAGACATGGTGGCAGGGGGAGAGGGCATGTGATAGGGAATGAGGGCAGCCAAGGAGAGGTCAATGGAGGAAAAAGAAGATTTACATAATACTTTAAGCAATAAATTATATATTTAAAAAACAAAAAGAGCCAAAACACTTCGTCACGACTGTGATATATTGCACGTGTGTGCAGGGCCCTGGAGGCAGATGGAGACCCAAATCCCCCAGAGGGGTTAAGCTGGAGGTGGTCCAGCTACAAGCTCACAGCAGCTTGGGGGCAGGAGATGAGGGGCACAGGGACACAGGGCACAGGGACACAGAAACACGGGGACACCGGGACATAGGCACAGGGACCCTGGGACACAGGGTCAAAGGGACACGGGGACATGGGGGTAGTTCTCACAAAGTGAAGGACAAGGAGGGAAGCACACCTGAGTGTGAGGCAGGATGGGTGGAAAGAAGAGCAGAAGCCTGAGCACACTCTGCATGCATGGTGGGCTCCCAGGGACATGGACAGGCTGAGGGGGCTGTGCCAGTGCCATCCCCCATCATGCCAAGTCTTCCCCCACCCCCGCCCATTCTCCCCTCTTCCATCGGCATTCCCCACCCCAGGCCCCCCCTCTCC